TAGCTGTTTATTTAAGTCTGCACAGAATTATGCTTCTCGCCCATCCAGTTAAGGATTGTCTGTTGGTCTGCTATAAAGCTAAATTTAGTGTGATGTTGTATTACATCTGTTTTGTATATTCCATCCGAAACCGCCACGTGCTGACACTAGCAATCCAGTCTTCGTGTGGCTTTAGAATCCTTTGGGGCCCAATGACCCGATAGCCTATTGTTGTTAAAATGTATAGCCTACTTTTTCTCTCCAAATAAAACTCAAAGAAACTTACAAAAAGGGTCTTAAAATACATAAAAACTGTTCGGACCACCGAAATCAATTTCATACAGTGAAGAAAACAAGAGCAGGATAAGGCCATTCAGCATCAAAGCTAAGAGACAGAACTTTACAATGCGGCCATATGTGATGCTGCACACCAGACAACTGCTTATCCACTGCAAAACAGGTGCTTTGCAAGAGAGGTGGGGAGCGGGACTCCACTTCGAAACTCTGCTTCATCTGGATTCCAGTTCCACTGCATAGTAAACATATGCAATGGTATTATGGTAGGGCTCATTTTTGGAGGAAACTGAGCTTCAGAGAAAAACTGGAGAAGGATTAAACACACCCTCCATAGTCACCTTTTATTACAAATCATCCTCCCTCAGCCCACCTCTCATTAGTGATGAGGCTCTACGAGCCTTCCCAATCACTCTCAGAACAAGGATTATAAAAACAAAAACAAGACTTGGGAATTAGCTGGGCTTACATGAGAGCCAGTTGGACCTGTTTTGCTCCTGATGACAGCATCGGGAATCCATCAGGGTTGAATTCCTCCTGCAACCCATCACACCATCTCTCTCCCCTGTCCCCTTGGGAGTTTTCAAGCCATCTACTTCCAGATGACCGCCACTGGACCACAGCTAGTGGAAGCTGCTAGAGTCCTGGGAACAGGCTTCTGGGCTCAGGTTGCTTGAGAATGCAAAGTAGGTGTTAGCTGATGAAAGAACATGTCATTTTTTTTCTCAGTTTCACATTTTTCCAGTGTTAAGCTCAGCTTTCCATATTTCCACATCAGGATGGAGTTTTTTAAGAGCTCAGGGGAAAAAACCACATTTGTCCTAATATGCACATTTTTTGTATGAAATTTTGCCCATTGTGCACATTTATGCAAGCTCTTCTCCCTAATGTAATACATTTTGTATGTTATTTTCGCTAATTTATTCATTTTGTAGGCATTTCTTGATTGGCTAATGGCATTGCAAAATTCAGGGAAGTGCAAATTTCAGTTTGCAGATTATTTCAGGAAGTGTAAATTAGAGAACTTCACACTAGAAGGTGAACTGAACCAAAATGCTCTCCCATTCCTATTAGGTAATAATTTCCAAAAGCAGGAGAGATGAGAAGCAAAGTTCATTCCATCAGTTCTGCTGTGAGGCAAGGCCATGTCTCTCAAGCTTCCTGTTCCCCAACTGTTACCTGGTAACAGGTACTAGAGGATGAGCTGGATATGCGCCAATGACGTGAAGCTGATTCCTAAATAGACAGAATGTGTGCTGAGTTCATGAGTCTAGGAGGGAGTGAATGGCCTGTTTGATGTCAAATGGTGAGGGTATGGATTGCCCAAACCAGCCTCATGTCTTGGACGAAATGGAGAAGCCTGACAGGCCAAAGAAAATACAAAAATAATAAGTAGTCTTGAAATTTTATCAGACTAGAAATTGAGCCTAAAAGTCTGCAGTCATGGACACACCTGCCCTATTGAAAACAGGGCAACTTACTCCTGAGTACACATAGTTCAGCAAATTTTGTTTCAAAATACTAGCAATGACTCTAGTATAAGCATGATTCCCCCTCCATACATGCTTGCATGTTATTTCTGACAAAGCCATTTTCTGCCAATAATATCTTTGTTCTGAACTCAAAGTGAAGAAGAATAAAATAAATTTAGAAACCAAGATTTAAGCATGTGGTCTGTGAGGGATAGTCCCCTTTTCCTTTTACTTATACATTCTGATCAGATGTTTTGTGCTGGCATGAATTTAATCTTTTTTAAAAAGGTATCTCTCATGAGAATCTTTGAAAAGATTCTCCATAAATGATGGCTTATTTCAGACACCCTCTGTTTACTGACATTGATTTTACAGGGCGATGTGAAACGTTAGCAATTTCAGGTCAGGCCACTGTCTAGCCCACATCACAATTGGCATGAATTGGCTTCTGACACAGTCTGGGTATAGAAGCCAGGGAAGGGCTGAATGGTCATAAAGGCTGACCTCTGCTGCTGCCCTATAATTCTGTCTGGCAGCACAAAAGGTTCTCAACTTGGTCTGCAAGGAGGAAATTTTAGCAGTGGCATTTAAAAGTCTCTGTAGGCCATGGTCCAAGAAAGAGCTAGGTGAGCTTAAGCTCTTTTATCCAAGTGGTATAATTGTTACCCAGCCCCCATTACTCCAAGTAGACAATACCTTCTTAGACATTGAGCTGCATGCTTTATCTGGAGAATATACTTGATCTCAATATATACAGTGACAGACACTGTAACTTGTACAGAGGAGGGCAACCAAGGGTCTGGAAAGCAAGCCTTATGACGAATGGTTGAGGGAATTTGGTAAGGTTAGACTGGAAAAGAGGAGACTGAGAAGAGGTAAGACAGCGCTCTTCTAATATCTTAAGGGCTGTCACATGGAGGATGGAACAAGCTTGTTTTATTCTCATCCAGAGGGTGGGACCCAAACCAATGGCTTCAAGTTACAAGAAAGAAGATTCTGACTAAACATCAGGAAGATCTTTCTGACAGTAAGAGCTGTTCAACAGTTGAACGGTCTCCCTTGGACGGTGGAAGACTCTTCTTCATTGGAGGTTTCTAAGCAGTGCTTGGGTGTTCATCTGTCATGGATGCTTTAATTGAGATTCCTGCATTGCAGGGGGTTGGCCTAGATGACCCTTGGGATCCCTTCCAATTCTACGATTCTCTGGGATTTTGAAAACGTGTTTGTCAGGGGTTCAGGAGCAGAGGCACAGGAAAGGGAGGAAATAGAGAGCGAGGGGGAGGAGTCCGAAGGAAATGTTAGCGATGACAGCGGTCCGAGGTCTCTGAGTCTTTCCAGCGAATCGGAAGATTCACAGAAAGGGGCTCCCTTGGTCAGAGCAAGGGGGTGCCGAGGGGGACACCCCAGGAAGAAGGGGCCAGAGGGGACTCAGAGAGCAGCAGGTGGAAATCAGGACCAGCGTCCACACCAGAGTGCAGTAGGGGGGGAGGAGTCCCAGGCATCGGGCTCAGGCGGCGCACTGCCAGTGGGAGGACATGAGTCAGGATTGGCCACGCCTCCATCGGGGAGCGAGGAAACGGTCGAGAGGAAGGTTGAAGGCTGGGCGCGCGCGCCAAGTTCAAATGTACAGGAGGGCGGCGCAGTTGGCAGCCCGGATAGGGAGCCAGGTCCCAAAGCCCGCCGAAAAGAGGGGGAGGAGTCAGGGGGTCAGCGTCAGAAGAATCCAGGAAGGAAGGGACCCCGGGGGGTAGCAGGACCCAGAGGAGAAAGGAGAGACGTAAGAGGTGGAGTAAGGCTAGAATCTTAAACTGGTGTACAGGGGCGGAGACTCAGATGGAGCTTCGCCGATCTAACCCCTAGACGTAGAGCTGGGGCGCTCCGGCTTGAAAATGGAAACTGTACTTCAATAAAGACTTTTGTACATTACTGCCGGCTAGCGTTGGTCCTCTGTGAGCTGGGACCTGGAGCCAGCTCTGACAGTAAGCTCCATCTCTAAAAGTTTTGCACCAAAAACCTCGTAACGTGAGTGGACGCAGCGAGGGAAGAAGATTGGTGCTTCGCGAGCTCACAAAAGTCAGGCAAGATGACTACAGAACAGCAACTAGCAGCCCTGCAAAATGCAGTGACACAACTCAACGCGGAGGTACTCGCATCCAGGAAAAGGGAAGAGGAAGCGGCTGCCGCCTGCAGGGATCTCCAAGCCAGGTTGGAAGTGCTTGCTAAGCAGGGGCAACCGGGACCCAAATCAGAGGGGATTGGGCTGGGGAAAAGAGGAGGCAGCCTGGTATCTCATTTCGATGGGAATTTGCAGCAGTACCCTAACTTCCGAGCAGACGTGCTGTTTGCGCTGGAACTGCTGGATAAAGACTTTAGAGATGAGCAAGAGAAGGTGGGGTTTATCTTGTCCCATTTGCATGGGGAAGCTAAAGCGTGGCTGCGCAATCTGTGGAGAGATAAGGATCCGGCGCTCCAAAATGCGGATGCATTCATTAAAGCGATGGATTCGTGTTTTTTATCAAATATAGACATTGATATCGCCAGAAAAGACATACATGGGCTCAAACAAGGCAGAGCCAGTGTAAGGCAGTACCATTCCCGCTTTGTTGCTTTAGTCCATGCGCTGGGATGGGAGAAGGATTCTGCCCCAGCCAGAGACCATTTTTGGGAAGGCTTGAATGCAAATGTGAAAGATGAGATTGCAAGGGGGGAGAGACCAAAGAGCACTCAGGAGGTTGTCCGGCGGGCGCTGCAAATTGGGGTGCGTCTGGAAGAACGTCCATGGAACAGAGAAGAAGGACGTTGGGGACGTACGCCAGTGAGAGCACCTCCCCTCTTTCCCAAGGATGCAGCGCGTGTGCAATCCCCACCTCCGCAAGGAGGGGGAGAGCAACCGATGGAGATTGGAGGCGCCAGGGCTCAGTCAGCAACCAGAGCCTTAACACCGGGAGCAGTCAAAGCGAAGCCTCCTAGAGGGAACAGGAAGTGCTACATCTGCGACAGTGCTCAGCACATGGCGAAAGAGTGTCCCCAGAGGCTCCACAAGCACACTGCAGCCTCAGCAACAGTAACAGAAGCAACTCAGCAGAGAGAACCACAGCAGGGAAACGACAGAGTCTGGTTGGAGGAAGAGGCACTGGGGCCCAGCCAGACAAGTCACTGAAGCCGTCCCCAGAGATTTTGCAGCCCACAGACCCCCTCCCGCCCAAACCAGTGGTGCAGCTCACAGCATCGCTCCAACTACCCAATGGACTCACTATGGAAGTGCCGATTACCATTGACTCTGGTAGTAACGCAGACTTCATAGGACTGGATTTCCTTCAAGAGCACAACATAGCACTCCTGCCAGCCACGCTGCCTCTGAAAGTTGTCACGGTGGATGGCAGGGAATTGCTGGGGGCAGGTGGTGCAGCAAACGCCTCCGATGGTGATGCAAATTGGGAATCACCGAGAAGTCATCAGCTTCAATGTCACCCAACTGTCGGACACGCCTATAGTATTAGGCATGAGTTGGCTGCACAGGCACAGCCCAGCATTGGCGTGGTACCAGCGACAACTGACCTTCGGCTCCTCATACTGTGCGGAACATTGCATTCTGCCTAGCCCGGAAGGGGAAGAGGATGATCCGCAGCTACAATTAGGCACGCTGCAAGCAGTGCCACTCAAGTACGCAGCGTTTTGGAGGTTTTCTGCGAGAAGGAAGCGGACAAGCTACCTCCCCACAGGTCTTATGACTGCAAGATTGACCTCCTGCCAGGGGCGACGCTGCCAACCGGGAAACTGTATTCCATGTCTGAAGACGAGCTGCAGGAACTCAGGGAGTTCATAGACCTCAACTTGAAGCGCGGTTTCATCCAGGAGTCGAAGGCAGTGGGGGGCAGTCCTGTATTCTTTGTGAAGAAGAAGGACACGCCCCAAAAAAGGCTTGTGGTGGACTATAGAATTTTGAACTCGAAAACCAAGCCCACAGCCTTTCCCATGCCCAAGATAGATGACCTGCTCGCAACGGTGAGGAAAGGACGCGTTTTCACAAAGTTGGATCTGCGAGGGGCGTACAACCTGATTCGCATACGGGAGGGCGACGAATGGAAGACTGCCATGTTCACGCCCCCGGGCACCTATGAATACAGAGTTATGCCCTTTGGATTACAAAATGGCTCCCACTGTTTTCAAGCCTTCATGCATCACGTATTGGCGGGTCTCCTCTACAAGAAATGCGTCTGCTTCCTGGACGACATCCTGATATTTTCAGAATCAGAGGAGACCCACGAGGGAGACGTCAAGGAAGTTCTGCAGAGACTGCAGGAGCACAGGCTGTACGCCAAGCTGGAGAAGTGCCAGTTCGACATGAAGGAGGTAGATTTCCTGGGCTACAAGTTGTCGGACAAGGGGCTCGCCATGGACAGCGCCAAGGTTCGCTCAGTGTTGGACTGGAAGAGCCCGCGCAATCGGAAGGAGGTCCAGCGGTTTGTCGGTTTCGCCAACTTTTACCGCAAGTTCATCAAGGGGTTCGCGATGCAGACGGCGGCCATTACCGACACGCTCAGCTCCAAGAAGAAGAAGTTCATCTGGACGGAGCAAGCGGAGCAGTCCTTTCAGAAACTCAAGCGTCTCTTCTCGTCCGAAGAGCAGCTACTGCATGTGAATCCCAGCAGACCGATGAGGGTTGAAACGGACGCCTCAGACAGAGCCGTGGGAGCAGTACTGTTGCAGCAAGACCCGCATGGGGACTGGAGACCGTGTGCCTTCTACTCCAGGAAGCTCAGCAAGTCAGAGCAGAACTACACCATCTGGGACAGGGAGTTGCTGGCCATTCATGCAGCATTCAAGGCGTGGCGGCACTTCCTCATTGGAGCCAAACACACAGTGCAGGTCCGCACGGACCATAAAAACCTGGAGTACTGGCGCACGGCAAGGTTCCTGAACCAGAGGCACATACGATGGGCGGAGTTCTTTGCGGATTTCGACTTCAGGATAGAGTACATCCCAGGCGACAACAACATCATGGCGGATGCACTGTCCAGAAAGCCGCAATACCTCGAGGAGGCGGCACCAGCAGCGGCCAAGCACATTTTCGCACCGAAAGCGTGGGCGTGCGCTTCAGCAACCGTGGACCTGGATGCTGTACGTCGAGCACTGCAGGAGGACCCCTTCGCGCAAGCAAAGATGGCAGAGGTGCAAAGGGGCACGGCGGAGGACGACGAGTTCCAGATACGCGACGGATTGCTCATCCGCAGAGGGGCCCTCTACGTACCGGGAGACGACCTCCGCGCGAAAGTACTGCAGCAGTTGCACGACGCACCCACCGCCGGGCACTTTGGCAAAGAGAAGACGGTAGAATTAGTAGCCAGAGATTTTTGGTGGCCCAAGATGCGGGGGGAAGTCGCGGATTACGTCTCGAGGTGCGACACCTGCCAAAGGGCCAAGTCAGTGCACAAACCGCCGGCGGGACTGCTCGACCCGCTGCAGACACCGCTCGAACCGTGGGAGAGGGTGGCCCTGGACTTTGTCACGGATCTACCCAGCTCGAGGGGCAAGACGGCAGTGCTAGTGGTGGTGGACATGTTCACCAAAATGGCCCACTTCATTCCGTGCGCGAAGGTGGCCACGGCGGAACAGACCGCCAAACTGTTCATAGACCACGTGTTCAGGGTTCACGGTCTGCCACGGTCTATCCTGTCCGACCGGGGGCGACAGTTCATCTCGAACTTCTGGCAGAAGCTGATGGGTTTCCTGAACGTCAAGATCAACCTAGCGTCGGCGAGACACCCGCAGACGAACGGACAAGCGGAGCGAGTCAACGCCATCATGCAGCAGTACCTGCGATGCTACGCAAATCAGCAGCCGGCAACATGGGTGGACTACCTGCCGCTCGCTGAGTTCGCCTACAACAACACGAAGCACGTGTCCACGGGGGTGACACCGTTCTTCGCCAACAACGGGAGGCATCCCAGAACCTTCCCGGGATTAGCGAGAGCGGGGGAGGGGGAGCCACAGGCAGCGGAAGCCTTAGCATCAGAGTTGCAGGAGGTTCACGAACAGCTTCGGAGGCAGTTAGAACTAGCAAAGCACGCATACAAACTGCAGGCTGACAAGCACAGAAGGGTTGGGGAAGACATACAGGTGGGAGACTGGGTTTGGTTAGCAGCCCAGGCAGTGCCGGCCAGATCGTTAGCGAAGAAGAAGCTAGGGCATAAGCAGCTAGGACCCTACCAAGTCGAGGCACAGGTCAATCCAGTGGCCTTCCGGTTGACACTGCCGGAGGGATCCAGAATGCACCCAGTTTTCCATAGATCAGTGCTCACGCCCTACAAAGCACCTCATAGATTTCAGGAGCCAGGAACGGCACCAGACCCGTTCAGGGAAACGCCCACAAGGGGGGGGTCGCCAAGGCGGGAACCCGTCAACGAAGTCACAGAGATTTTAGACTCGAGATGGGGGGAAGAGGGAGTAGAATATCTTCTCGCCAGAGAAGGTACCCCGGCCAGCGCCAACAGTTGGGTGCCAGACCATGCCTTGGACGAACCTTTTCTCAAGGACGAGTTTCATGCCCTTTTCCCACACAGGCCCATGCCAGCCGAGTATTTCGACGACTGGCTTTTCACACCCACATTTTCAGCTAGCACATTCCAGGGGTTCACCTCGGACGAGGAACCGGCACTAGAAACACGTTCACGGAGGGATCACCCTCGGGGTCTGCCTCAGACCGTTCCTATTGGTGGGACAATCAACCAGAGGAGCAGTGGCGCAGGAAGTGGTTGGGGGGTCCTTGGCAGGCAACGTCCCCGGAGGAGACCGGGGAGAGACGGACATGGACGTGTTGGGGGAGGACCTTGGGTTCGAGCACGGCGGCAAAGAGATGGAAGCAGAGGAAATTGAGGTCGGCGAGAGCACGGAGGACGAGCCGGACTTATCCGGCTGGATGCACGCCACGGGGGACGAACTGTATCCGGCACTCACCCCCACAACGACGGAGCACCCAGTACCCACACCTGAAGGTGGGGTGGGGGTAAGGGGGGGCTTCGAGGGGGGTATGGATGTCAGGGGTTCAGGAGCAGAGGCACAGGAAAGGGAGGAAATAGAGAGCGAGGGGGAGGAGTCCGAAGGAAATGTTAGCGATGACAGCGGTCCGAGGTCTCTGAGTCTTTCCAGCGAATCGGAAGATTCACAGAAAGGGGCTCCCTTGGTCAGAGCAAGGGGGTGCCGAGGGGACACCCCAGGAAGAAGGGGCCAGAGGGGACTCAGAGAGCAGCAGTTGGAAATCAGGACCAGCGTCCACACCAGAGTGCAGTAGGGGGGAGGAGTCCCAGGCATCGGGATCAGGCGGCGCACTGCCAGTGGGAGGACATGAGTCAGGATTGGCCACGCCTCCATCGGGGAGCGAGGAAACGGTCGAGAGGAAGGTTGAAGGCTGGGCGCGCGCGCCAAGTTCAAATGTACAGGAGGGCGGCGCAGTTGGCAGCCCGGATAGGGAGCCAGGTCCCAAAGCCCGCCGAAAAGAGGGGGAGGAGTCAGGGGGTCAGCGTCAGAAGAATCCAGGAAGGAAGGGACCCCGGGGGGTAGCAGGACCCAGAGGAGAAAGGAGAGACGTAAGAGGTGGAGTAAGGCTAGAATCTTAAACTGGTGTACAGGGGCGGAGACTCAGATGGAGCTTCGCCGATCTAACCCCTAGACGTAGAGCTGGGGCGCTCCGGCTTGAAAATGGAAACTGTACTTCAATAAAGACTTTTGTACATTACTGCCGGCTAGCGTTGGTCCTCTGTGAGCTGGGACCTGGAGCCAGCTCTGACAGTGTTCTATGTCAAGCTGATGCTGAGCAGTCAGAGAAAGCCCCTCTTTGAATACCTGTTGCAAGTAGTCTGCCAGCTCTATTTGGCTTGCGAGGTTTTCAAGGCTGATAATTGTCAGGTTCTTTCGTCTTTGCTAAGTTTCTAAATCGTTAAGGTGACGATTAAGAGTGCTGTGAGAGGCCAGTGAAAATGTCTCAAACGAGTCCAATCTGCCTTCACAGTTCGCTAGTTGCACCCGGAACTCATTAAAGCCTTCTGTTAGAGTTTTCAGCTGGTCTTTTATGTGATTTAGGGTTTTAAGCTGGGCCAGGATATTTTGTAAAATAGCTGTCTTTGGGTCTGCCTGTTTATGCTCAGTAGCCTCTGAGTCAGTTTTTTGTTTTTTGTTTGCATCAGCCATGGGTTTTTTTTTAGCGTTAGCGTCTGCCATTTTTTCTTTCTTTCGGCGGCTCTCGTATTGGTAGACATGGTCATTTATCTTAATTAGTCTTGTAAAGAGATAGTAGAAAGTTTATTTACCCTTTGATTTTAATCTTTTGGCAGCATGGAGTTGCTTTCCAAGTATTTGAAGGCCTTGTAGCCAGAGAGATCAGAAGGACATCCCTCATGGTTCAATTCCTAGACCGGAAGTGGTAGAAGGGAATAAGATGTTGGATAGATGTTGTTTGTACACTTGTCATCGTGATTTGCTCTGAAGGATATATGAAGTTTTAGCAGCTCATTACTAAATATTGTGGTGCTTAACTGGAACAGGAAATCAGAGAACTTTCTGGTGCATTCAGATTGTTTCAGATTCACATGCAAATTCAGATC